TTGCTTTTGCTGCATATCGGCCTTCGAGACATCTTTCTTTCTGCAACATTTGCCTACACGGTTCTTTCTAATTACGTCCCTGGCATTCCGAAATAGTTAGCGCTTTCATAGCCGACAATGCTGCGGTCGTCGCCATCTTTAGCTCAGTTAGCGAGCCCAAACACATCGTGGAGATCCGTTTGCGCTAACCATGGTTTCCAGCCGCAGTTTGGTGAGCCGTGTAACTGCGCAAAACTTTAGTTTAGAGTAACTGCAATTAGCTGAACTGTAGTCATGTATGTCCTTGTTACAGGTGTAAAAGGGTGTTCTTGGTCGCGATATAATTTTGACGTTAAAAGCGAACTTTTTCTTTCATTCTCTTCTTCGCAAAACTCGATGACGTAATCACGGGGATCGCAGTGTTCACTCTAAGAAATACCTGCGCGTCTGCTTACCCGCAAAACACTCAAAAAGCCAATCTCTGCGATCTAGGAAATCAGCTCAGTGAATGATGAGGCGGAACATCTGTTTAGATCTTAAAATTAAGTCTGCGCTGTGGCATCACGCAATCCAAGCATGACACTTTGCATTGCGTAATGCAGTGGTCTCAAACTCATTTGAGTGTAAGGGCCAGATATCCCACACCTGAAAGGTCAAGGGCCTACGTAAGACGCGCCGAGGGGGGAGGTAATTTTGTGCTTCATGTTTTTTTTGTTTTTGTTTTTTCAACTCAAACTCTTGTCAGTGACAACTCCAGATTTGATTTGCTTATAAGACTACTTTGGGCCTTCACTTCATGAGATCAGAATAAAAATGACACCCCTCCGCCAACGTGCTGGCATTTTTAATAGAAGTACACTGTAGTTCCCGTTGCTCAATTCACCCAGGAATTAACCAAGCTCAACATTTCTCTAAAAACAGAGAGTTAATATGACAGTTGTAGTTTTCTTGACGAATTTTGCTACAACACTGGAACAAATACTTTTCTTTGAATGTTCATATCTTCTTGAAGGCGCGAATTCCGAGCTCGTAGCTTTATCCTTACCAGTTGCTCCTGCTGATCGAGAATTTACGTGGCCGAAATGCATCCTTCAACGAATAGCTTGCGCTTGCAGTCTAGTAGCGGAATTATTGTACATTACAGAAAGGTGGGTGCAAAGCAAAAGGCAAATTAACACAGACAAGTATACTATGTGAATACGTTAAAAGAGCAGGGCTACTTTTCGAGCGAAAATGAAGCGGCGAGATGAGATCAAAATGGCACATGGCATTTCTAGCGCTCGAGACATTGGGTCCGGGACCCGCAGCCGGTTGCCTGCGGGCCGCGTCCCAGCAAGTCGCGGGCCGTGTGTTTGAAACGCCTGGCGTAATGCCACAACGCAGACTTCATTTTTAGATCTAAACGGATGTTCCACCTCATCATTCGCTGGGCTGATTTCGTAGATCGCAGAGATTGGGTTTTTGATTGTTTGGCTGGTAAGTAGACGCGCAGGCATTTCTTAGAGTGTTGACGTATTCGCGCTGTTGTGACGATCATCAAGCCAGTTGTGACGATAGTCAAATGCGACTCACCGGTTGGACACGCGCTGCACTCTAAGAAAAGCCACTGCTTTACTTTCCCGCACAACATTTGGAGAGCCAATCAACCGCAACTTAGGGAAGCAGCTCAGCGAATGACGATGCTGAAACATATGTTTAGACCAACAAAGGCAGTCTGAGTTGTTACATTACGCAATGTAAAACGTCACGCTTGCATTACTTAATAGGGAGTTTTCGTAGATCGCGCTGCCCCCTCCGCTAAGCGTTCCGCAACGAAGAAGTTGCTACCGCGCCTGCGCGCCGATAGCCTTGACTGTGGTTATCCCGCTATCGTAGCGGGTTGCGGAGGGCCTTGCGGGACGGCGAAAACGATCTACGAAAACTCCCTAATGTCACAACTCAGACTGCGCTTGTTGGTCAAAACATATGTTTCGGCATCGTCGATCGCTGAGCGACCTCCGTAAGTTGGGGTGATTAGCTCTCCGAGTGTTGTGCGGGAAAGTAGACGCACTGGCTTTTTAGGGGCGAAGCCCCTTAGGGTCTAGCCTTGTCCGTCCGTCCTTCCGTCCGTCCGTCCGTGCGCCTGTGCCCACATAAAAAGAAAAAATTTTTGCGCAGTCGACATGATTCGAAGCTGTGCAGGGAGACCCCAATGATTTCTAGTCCATCGCCTTAACCACTCGGCCACGACTGCGGGTGGTAGTAACTCAAGAACTGGGGTTTCTGTCATGGATGAAACGTTGCATGGATGAAACGCTGCGGTCAAATGCGTATATAATCGCGTTAAACTTTGGA